ACTGTGACGTTGCCTCCATGGTCAGCATCTCTGGGTTCTTCTTTGCAGGGTTTGAAGGTAATTCTTACCAAATCTCCATTTTTAATTTTTTTTTTTTTTAGATTTTATTTATTTATTTGACAGAGAGAGATAGCGAGAGAGGGAACACAAGCAGGGGGAGTGGGAGAGGGCGAAGCAGGCCTCCAGCCAAGCCGGAAGCCCAATGTGGGGCTCGATCCCAGGACCCCGGGACCATGACCCGAGCTGAAGGCAGACGCTTAACGACTGAGCCACCCAAGCGCCCCCCAAATCTCCATTTTTAAAGAGCGTTTCCTCATTAATAGGTGCTGGTCTTTGCCCAGCAGCAAAGACTCATGCTAAAGGAGGGCTTTTCTACCTGGAATTTGCGGGGTTCAGCAAGGGGTGGGGGTATTTTGCCTTTTTTTCCCCAATGGAAAGAAATGAAGGTCTTTGAGCAGAGAGTCTGAAATGGAAAGTTGTATCTATTTTTTGGTTTTCTTGGGACTAAGGGGCTTTCCTGGGACCGATTAAGACAAACCAGGACAGCTGGTCACTCTCCATCACCTTCCTCATCACCACCCTCCAAATGTCCTTCACCATTTGTTCTTGTACTAGCTGGGAGACAGGGAGATAGGTCATAGCCTGAAATGGAGCTTTGGAAGTTTTTGCCAAACAATCCAGAGATTTGAGGGGTTTCTCATGAAAGCAACATAAGGAGGAGCCAATAATTTTTTTGGAAAGTATGTGTGAGAAAAGGAACCTTAAGAGGTAAAGGGGAAAATGAAAGTGTACTTCTCATTTATAAAACCCCTCTAAAGTGCTATTTAAAATGTTTGTGGGCGCCTGGGTGGCTCAGATGGTTAAGCGTCTGCCTTCGGCTCAGGTCATGATCTCAGGGTCCTGGGATCGAGTCCCGCATCGGGCTCCCTGCTCCTTGGGAGCCTGCTTCTCCCTCTGCCTTTCTCTCTCGCTCTGTCTCTCATGAATAAAAAAATAAAATAAAATATAATGTTTGTTAATAGTTTGTTTGCATTTTGCTATTTCAGCAAATGTTTCTAATAAATAAGAAATAGAAACATGTATGATTTTAAATCTCTAGGGCTTGAACCTAGAACCATCATCTGCAATTTTAGCAAATTCTCCAGCAAGCCTGGCCGACTCCACAACCCATGGCACTCTGCCTCCACCTGGTGGCGGTGTACGTAAATTCAGTCTTGACCACCCACCCTAACTTCATTTTTTGTGTGTGCTGAGAGCCTTCCTTTTAGGAATTCAATCTTAAAAGCCAAATTATAAAGATACCAATTGGCCTCATATGATACTGTGGTCCTTCCTGTTTGGAATGCAAGGTCAATGTGAAGCAAAGACAAGTTTTTATATTTGCTTTATATCTCATCCTGTGAAGTACGATAAGCCTGTGAAACCTTATAAAATAATTGATTACCTTAATCTCTTAGGGAATATAAGAACATTATAAGCTGACACTGTGAAGTGCATAATTTGTGAAAATATCATAAGTGTATAGGTCTTATATTATAATAATCAAATAAGATCTAAAAAATTTATTAATCAGACATGGTTCATTATAACCATTATCACATTGAGTTTGACTGTTATTAGTTCACATTGGGGGACTTAATTGTAATTTCTTTTACACAGGTAAATCCTTTATGTTATGTTTTCTACGTTTATTTTGTTAATTCTTCAGCATGTGAAATAATTGCTAAAATTCATGGATTGTTTTATCATCAACATACTTTGTGGGAGCAGAAGACTCAAACCTCACTTAAGCATTTTGCTCCTTTTTGGGGGAAGTCATTTCACTTCCCTAGGGCTGGGTTTCCGGGTCTGTAAGGTTGAGATAATAATTATGTATGTCATCAGTTTGGTGTAAGAGTCAAATACTCTGTGTGTGTGTGTGTGTGTGCACGTGCATATGCTTTGTTATCCAGATGTTAGTCTCAGGGGCATTATCATCACTTGTAAATTGAAGACAAAGTTTCCAGATTTTACTTCCTAGCCCCTGGCTGCCAGGACTGAATTTCCCTGGAATATCCCCAGGAATTCTGATTCCCTCTCAGTGTGCTGGCCCTCCCATGAGCCCCTCACACTCTCTGCCCAGGCCCCTAGGCTCTCTGTCCCCACACCAGATGAAAGTCACCTGCACCAGAGGAGAAGGGACACTGGGCCTAGACTGCTTGTGGGGTTCTGGGGGGTGGGGGAGCCATGGCCAGTGTGGGTGGGACCTGGCCTTGTTGCCACAGAGGGAACAGCTAGAGCTAATTGGAAATGGGAGGAGTAAGGGGCGTGGGGGCAAGAAGAGGGGAGGCCTGCCCCCCACATCCCACCGTCCATCTAGGTCCTCTGGCCTGAGTGAAATAATGACAACTTCAGGTCTAGTTTTAGGAACAATCTGATTCCAGGGAGAGGAGAATCCTGTATCTCCCTGCCCCTCTTCCCCGTCACGGGGCGGGGGCGAGCATAAACACTTTATCTTCTCTTCCACGTGCTCTTGTGACTGATGTTCCTTCAGTAAGAGGCAGGCATCTGGCCGCACTGAATGAAAGGTGTGAGAAGTGTTCTGGGAGCCCAGAGGGATGGGGTCCGGGTAGGGGGTGGTCAAGTGGGGGTGGGGGTACGGGGCTGCAGCAGGGAAAGCATCCGGGACGGTAAGGTCTACACCTGCTCCTGAGGAAGTAGAGTTCAGTCTGTTGAAGATGGAGCATGAGAAAACATGGTCCTTTCCAAGAAAGGTGAACGTCGTCTGTCCATCCAGGCCTCTGCTGTTCCTTCTCCAGCTCGGGGTCTGGGCCCCTTCTCCACACCTCACCCTAGCCCCCCTCTCTGCACAGCCACACAGAGAGCTGGCTTGCTCTTCAGGCAGGGCTCAGCCGGCTTGTACGGACGGGATCACGTGGCATGCATTTCTGGAAAACCACTTTGATGGCACTCTTCATCTCACTAACCTGATTTTATTTGTGCCTTCATCTTGATCTCTTCCTAAAATGGAAAAAAAAACCCAAAAACCAAAAAACAAACCACACCTGTCTCAAACCTTTTTTTGAAATGAAGTTGAGGTTTCCAGCATTTTGGTCATTTTTATCAGCATTCAAACTCACTGCGGTTTTCAGGCTCCCAGTGCCTCCCGCAACTCTCTCCTGTGTCATGTAAAGATGTAGGGCTTACCTCTTGGCTTCTATGCCCTTCCCACCCTCGGTGATGCAGTTTCTGACAAGCCTCCACAGTGCTGGCAGACTGCATCCCAGGTAACAGAGGTTCTGTTATGGTATGGGAGTTGGGGCAGCCGCTGAGCTCCTGGAAAAAGAAAGACAAAAGAAGAAAAAAAAAAGCCTTTCCATCTGCAGATACTCCTGCTGCTGAGGCTATGCTGTCTGGGCAAGAGAACACATTGGGTTTTAAACCTTCCAGAACGAAGGGGCAGTCTGCCCTCTCCTGTCTGGAGTCTGAGGCCTAAGCCCATGGAGGACCTGCCGTACCTTGGGGCCATGTTTGGAGATTGGTTTTGCACATCTGACCTGGGAAAGGGGAAGCCCACTGCAGGTGGACTTCCAGACCCAGCAGGCTGCATGTGGGGGGGCGGGGGCGACCTTGGAGGAGCCAACGCATGTGGGCCCTGTCTCTGGGGGGCTGTCAGAAACATTTCCGAGATACAGTGTGCCTTCAGAAAATACTTCACGTGAGGTGCATCCATTTCAAAAACCTTCCTGGGTTTGTGAAATCGTAACTGGCAATACTGTCTACTAGCTCATGTAACACCTTTCATGTCAAACCCAAATGAAAATCTTCTGCATGAGATTATTGCCAGAAAACATTTTGTCTCTAGAGAGAAAATTCTGGTGTGAGAAGGAAAATTAAAACCACATAATCCATCACATTTTCCTCCAAGTCCTGGGTGCCAGAATGCTTAGAGTAGAAGTCATTGTCCAAATGTCCTCACTTGCTTAAGTCAGGTGCCTGAGACATATTTTCCTTCAGCTATTTTTTAAATGAGATTATCTTTTTATTTATCTTTCTGTCCATTGACATGTCTGTCCCTCCATCATTTTTTTTTTTTTTTTTTTGGACTGAAGAAGTGCTCAAGTCCCTGGCAGATATACAAGTGTAGACTCAACTTGAAATGAATTCCTCAGGATGTGGAAGAAATGGTCATTTCAAAATTGCAGTAATTCCTTCACATGGTTACAGTCAGACATTTTTCAACCATTATGCGGTGAAGCTAGGAGACCCAGACAGGTAGAATGGGACCTATTTCGATTTTTATTTTTCCCACAGAAGAGTAGCACTGGGTGAGTGGGGTGACGTGGTGTTGAAGGCCCAGCAGCAGTGGGGCACGTCAGAACCCAAGGGACTCTTTTCTGTTTGCAAGACCTTCGTTGTCTTCTGGTTCCCACACTCTTGGGCTGGCTCTTCTGCTTCTGGCCAGTTCTGTGAGCTTCCTGGTGTCTTGTCTGTAGATTCCCTTTCTCTTTAAGTAAGTTCTATTGAGTTTCTATTGCTTGCAACCCAGAACTCTGATGCCTCTATTCAGCAAATTAATTAGTTCAGTGATTCACTTAATCAGCATTCCCTGAGCAGAACATCCGTGTGAGGTAGGCATTCTTTTTCTTCATCTTATGGATGCAGAAGTTGAAGCTCATGGAATTTGTTTTGCAAATTAATATTATAATCAAGGGTTTGATGTTTAAAGTGGTGTTTTCCACTTCTTTATGATCTTCCTGCAGGCAGTGGTCAACGTTTCACCTAAAATCCTGGAGAATTTTGAGGTCTCATCACTAGGAAAATGCCCATGCTCAAGCCCCTAACAGTGACTTACCCAATGGAGTTATGCCTCTTGTCTAGGAAGAACCAGGGTATGATGGCCAGAAGACCCTTCATCTGTAAGAAATGCAAAGGCCCCAGTATGTGGAAGTTTTTGGTGGGATCTTTTTTGAACAGCACCACAGGGCTGGGTGGGGCAGGGGTGGGAGGGGGTAGGGCGATTTTTCAAATCAAAACAACTGAAACAAATCTCTGCTTCCTCTGGGACTTAAGGCTAGGCTAAACCTTTGTCCCCCTTCTGGAAAAAGAAAGCAAGCAATATCCGTAGTTTGTGAAAGATGAAACTTCCATTTGCCACAGAACTGGGGCAGGCAATGGGAGATTGGTGATTGTTTGATGAAACAGACTATGAAGACAACCAACTTAAGGCGGTTCTGTTAACTCAAAGGTCACTGTTGTGAAGGGCATAGACAATCGAAACCCTCCTGGCTCTCGAAGCCTTCTTGGTAAGTAATTAGCAAAGCAGAAGTAGGATGGGGAGGTTGGGTAGAGGAAACCGGCAAACTCCTTTCTGTGGGTAGCCCCTCTGGGGGAGAGACCAAGGCGTTTTCTGGAATCCCCAGCGTTGCTGGTGAGTAAAGGGCTGGCATGGAGTGGGAAGGAGAAACAGTTCTCCAGCTACAGTCCACATTTTGAACCATGAACTATGGAGCACGGCAGAAATTCTTACTCGGGCACCCCCTCTTTCTCTGTTGTTCCTGTGCCGGGCTATTTTCTAACTCTACATTCTTTTGGTACTACAATTATTGCCAGTTATCATCACCCCCACCTTTTGAGGAGGTAAGTTAGTCCACTGATGGTCATGTCATTTTTCAGGTCCCAGTGTGGGAAAGGTGAAGGTGGAGCTGGCCTATGATGCATAGGGACTCAAGCCCCGTCAGGTCCCTCTCTTGATCATTACTTGTTGACTTTGTTTTCCGAGTACAGATAAACTTTCTCTGCTCAACAGGGGATCTGGCTACCAGCAGCTTCAGGCTCTGATGCTCAGAGCTTTGCTACCAGAGAGGAAAAGACTCCCCCTGCCCTAGTTCTAACTTTTACAGCCCCTAAAAGGTACTCTCAGTGGCTTGGATCAGGTTGTATGTTCATCCCTGGGCCGATCCTTGCAGCTAAAATAGCCACATGTTAAAAGATAGCCACTCTGATTTGGGTCACATAATATAGTGTAGAAAGAAAGGTGGGGGAAGGTCATTTTCCCCCTCTAGTCTCAGTGGCCACAACTGTAAAGTGGGGAAATTGGTTCACTGGATCTCAAAGTCGGTTTTCAATTTTGAAATCTTCTATCATGGTGTCAGGTACTTTTTGGTTCTTGCTTCCCGATGATGTCTTGTTTCATAAATATGCCTCTGAAAATACCTGGTGATACATGAAAACTAATGAGGAAGATCTTTATGAGTGGATTTGCAATAACTTTTAGACATATTGTTGAGTAGAAGCAAGGTACAAGAATGTATACAGTAGGATATCCTTTGTGCAGAAAGAACAGAAAGTGTGTGTGTGTGTGTATTTTGCAAAAAAAAACACGGGAAGAATAAATCAGAAATTAAAACCTACAAGGGGGAGAAGTGGGACTGAGGTGGAAGGAATAAGTATGGGGACATGTGAATGTCTTAGACACTTGAAAAAGTAAATTGAAAGGGACAGAAAGAAGCAAATCTAAATTGGAATGCAATAAAAACCAAATGAATCTAGCTGTATATTGTATTGATAAAATACAATATCTCTGTGGTTACACAGAGAAAAGAATTGATTCAAGTAAATTTTGATATGAGGACAGTGGCTGACCATCCCTTAGTGGGATATATTCTAAGAACAAAAAGAATTCAGTGGCATCTAAAGCTTTAGTATGTTTATTGGGTATTAGGAATATTAACATTATAATTTTGAAACTATATATAAATATTGTAGGAAAAAGCAAAGAAGTAGATATAGTAATATTATTAGGAATCAAAACTTTAAATATTATTAGGAATCAAGATTTTAAATCAAAATTTAAAATAAATGAAAATAAAATAATTTTTTAAAAGGCTTCTGTATTAAATTTGAATATATGAATTCTTGAATATATATATAGTATGTGTATAATATATACATACATTTCCTAGCTTTGCTCACTTGAAAAGACTTATAAGTAAGGACACTTAGTTGCAGTGAGCATACTTACTTGCCCAGCTCTTGATGTGAATATCATTCTCCATTAAAAGGAAACAGGACTCCTTGGAGAATGGTTGAATTCAGATCCAGGGAGGGCAAATGTGAAGTGAATCAGAAATATTTTATATTGCTAGATAGTAAGGAGGAACTCAAAAACCAATGTGTTCTTATGAAAAGGATACAAGATCCATCTTAAAGGGGCTCTCCCTAGCCAAGTTTGGGACCATTTGGACATCAAAAAGAATAAAGAGAGTAAATGATTACAAATTAAATATAAAGGAAATTCATGAGACCATAGTAATATGAAGGAGAGGAAGAAGGAAAAATGGACAACACGGGGAGGCAGAGAGAGACACACGCAGAGTGGAAGAGAGAGAGAGAGGTAGAGAGAGGGAGAGAGACGGAGAGACAGAGAGAGGAAGAGAGAGAGAGAAGAAAAAATAAAAGGAAAGTTCATCTTTACAGAAGAATGTTAGCTAATAAATATAGAAGGGAGGGTAAAATGAGGCAATCCCCACAAACCCAACATAATAAAGGATTCAGGTAAGGATTCTGATGGTGCTAAAATAGTCGGGTAAGAGGTTTGTTCATAGGACATCAAAGTGTTATCCCACAGATTACTGACGACAGAGGAGGAGAAAATACGCCTTTACTTTGGGGAGACCTGGCCGTCACCACCTTAACCAATGGATCAAACTTAACATCACGAATACTGGGACAATCTGACATGAAAGGGCTTCTCGTGCGAATCAATATGAAGAACACAAATGGCCCCAGAAGCATTCTTGCCAGAGGTGTTGACTTGAATCCGCTAAGTCACCAGACCTAACTTCCAGCCTACAGAAAACATAGGGATAGAGGAACACGCAAGATTTCACGACGAGGGGGCGCCTGGGTGCCTCAGTCATCACGCGTCTGCCTTTGGCTCAGGTCATGGTCTCAGGGTCCTGGGATTGAGCCCCCACATTGGGCTCCCTGCTCAGTGGGAAGCCTGCTTCTCCCTCTCCCACTCCCCCTGCTTGTGTTGCTCTCTCGCTGTGTCTCTCTCTGTCAAATAAATAAATAAAATTAAAAAAAAAAATAAAAAGATCTCACGACGAGGAAACAGCCGTGTCCAAAAAGTGTGAAGTGTTCTTCAAAATAACTGGACTGAATGTAAATAAATTTAAAAAAAAGAAAGAGTTTAGTATCTTAAAATGTTAAAGGCTAAAAACCTAATCAAGTGCAAGAACTTGGTATAATTAGAAATATGAATACAAGTTAGATATTAGATATAGACAATTAGATATTGTCATTTTTCTTAGATGTGACTGTGATATTGTGGTTATATGGAGGATAGATGGTTGCTAGATGGTTGGAGACAGACAGACAGCAACAGAAAATTAAAGCAAACACAGCAAAATGTTGAGAACCAACACGACGAGTATATGGATGTTAGTTCGATTCTTTTCTATAGACTTGAAATTTTTCCCAATAAAATGCTGGGGGAAAATGCCTGACTGTATAAGACTTGGAAGAATCCTTCGATTTTTATCTTCTAAATTTTTCCTTTTGTGAATTATAAAATTAAAACCCACGTGGGTAAAGCCGCTTGCCCGAGGCCCCAGAGTCAGCAAGCAGGAGAGCTCAGCACCCACTGTTATTTCCACTACTCTTTGCTGTCTCATGAAAATTAGACTCCGTTTTAATGTAAAATTCTTTTTAATCTCTTCTAGCATCACACTGGCTTTTCCATATTAAAATGAGTGGGGGAGGGCAGGGCACGTTGTCTGTCTCTCTAGGGCCTTGGTTTCCCCTGCTCCCTAGACCTGTGCCTCTCCTCTGGACCACAGGACGAGGTCCTGGCCCTCTTTTAGGTGGTCTCACTCAGCCCCCAGCCCAGCCCCCAGGGCCTCACCATCTCCTTGTTTCATTAACTTGGTACCACTCCCACTGACCTGGCCCAGCACTGGTTCTTAATATTCCTGGGCTGGTTTTTAAACAGCTTCTTTGCAGTATTGAAACAAATTCTAATATAACTAAGTCAACATGATCGCATTTGGCATGCTAATTGGAAACCTCCGTTTTAAACAAAAGGTTATACTCAGGGCACTATCTTCCCACGATCTCCAGAAAGGTAGCTTGAAATGCACCAAAATGCACCAACCTATAAATAAAACTACCAGGCTGAGTACATTTTGCAAGTCAGTGAAACCATGAAAATGAAACTTTTCCCAATCAGCCTTTCTTCTCCTAGAGGAAGGGTGGAGATACTCTCTGGAAATCAGGCATGGGGCTGAAGCCTGCTAAGGTGGAAGAGTGAAAACAACTCAAGGATCTTTAATTAGTTTGGATCCAACTACTCTGCTAGTTGATACCTCCCCTTTTTTTTCATTTTTATTTACCATTACATCTTTTCTTTCCTATTCTGATGCGCCTACAGTGTATTTTGTTGTTTACTGGAACGAAAGGATTGCTATTCTTCATGTGTATTGGAAGTTTGGTATACAAAATTCTAGATACTCAACCCCTTTCCCCCCACCTAGTTGTTGCTTACAATGAGCCTCTTTTCAATGAATATCTAATGAAGGTAGCTGTTAAATAAAAATGAATGTTATGTATAAAATTGTGAAATGTTATTTTCTACCTTGTAAAGAAAAAACTATATCAGTGTGGAATGTATAATTTATAGTCAGGCTGGAAGACTCTGGCAACTCAAATGGCATCAGCCATGGAGTGGGCAGAAAATCTGAAGTCACCAAGAAAAGCTGGAGGATATTCTAGAGATTGCAAAATAATCCTCGGGGGTTCAGTGTGTTTGCTGAGTAAGGTCCTTGGAAAGACATTCCTGTGGGTTCATATTATTGGCACTCCAAATGAGAGACATAATATCTTCGCCTGCATTTATTGGGCTGAGTTTCTCAATTCTAGTGTGTTGTGAGTCTGCTGCATATGGAGCTCTAAAATTAAATTTAAAATAACAAGCTGCTGGCCTGGATTTTATTTGGCCTGTATAATATTTTTGAAAATCAGAGATTTGCACATAAAAATCCAGATTTCCAATTTCTCTCAACGTGTCAGAAGATTTGACAACAGTGGGCTTGAATTTTGCTCCCGGTAAAAGTTGTCTCCCATGGCCATGAACTCTGTGATTTGCCACAGTCCCTAGAAGTCCCTGTTGTTACATATCCAGACAGCTTTATTTAAATGGCTAGCTCTTGGAAGCATCTGAGTTTGGGACCTACATTATCCATTTTCAATTCACTTAGATAAAATTATTTTGACAAAAATGGGTACTTATATCTCTTAAGGCACCTCCTGCATTCAAGGCGTGAAATGCCTTATGAGGCATTTTATATTACATTATATCATTTGCTCCTCCCCCAAACCCTTTGAAATAAGTGTAATTATTATAACCACTTAAAAATATGATTCTGAATCCTGGAGAGGCTGTGTAACTTGCCCATGGTCACACGGTTAGTAAGGAGCAGAGTCAGGATTTGAACCCAAAGACTAGGCTATCAGATAAGTTAGGCAAAAGAGAACCCTGAAGTTGCAGTTATCTGCAGCTGATTTCCTTGAAGAGCAAGAAAGCAATATGGTAGCCTAAGAAGGACCACGAGTCAAAGACCCAGGAACCAGGACTGAGAGAACACAGGCTTGCTTTTCTGAGAGTCTTACCACTTATTAGTTGGTAACCTTAGGAGGTCCCCTTTCCTCCATTGGCCTGTTTCACAATCTATAAAACGAGGGTGGAGAATGTGATTAAAGATACTTCTCTAAAAGCCCCTGATCTGTCTCGCTGTTTGGCACCTAATCTGAGAAAGGATTTGTTCCTTTTCTTTGGCTCCCTCTGCTGACATGGAGCAAGAGAACACATTTGTTGCCCAAACTATTTCAGGTTCATTTCAATTATTAATCAAAGGTTTGCCCTTTCCAAGGTCATGGTGGGCACTTAGTTACCCGCTGAGAAAACTTAGATCAGCGATAATTTTAAGTTACTTCCTGATCGCCATTCAGCAGAGCAAAAGAAGTGAAGGTCTAAAGTAATTCAAGATTTTATTGTATATGTGGAAATCATAGAATCATCACCATCATCATCATCATCATGGAAATAACAAGAGCTAATATTTATTAAGCACAGACAATAGACCACTCACTCTCTAAAGTACTTTATCTAGTTTCATGTCCACTTTATTCTTAAAGTAACCCAATTGAAGTTACTCTTTATTATCCTCACTTTGCACTGGGAGGAAAGTTACAATCCAAACCCCTCCTTTTCCAGTTGAAGAAATTGAGGCCCAGGGGCATTAAGTGATTTACCCAAAGTTATATAGCAGCTAACTGCTGGTAGAGCTAACACTAGAAGCTAGTCCAGAAATCTTCTATTTCTTTTTTTGTCCAGCTTCTTCAATCTAAAATCTGGCTGAGGAGATAGAACTAATATACTAAGAAATAATTAACAGGAGGAGGCATGTAATTAGAAACTTAGATTTTGAGGTTGAAGGGGGCCTTGGAGGCTATCTAGTATTTCCTGCTTTGACAGAAGCTTCTCTCCATACCCCTTACAATTGGATACTTAGCAATTGAGTTGAAACCTACCTCCAGTCTTAATCTTGTTGCTTGGAGCTATACAGGATATAGTTAAGCCATCTTCTGTACACAGTCCTCCCAAAATTTGGAAACAACCCTTGTGAACTTATAAAACATCATGTCTGGGGGCGCTTGGGTGGCTCAGTCTTTAAGCGTCTGCCTTCGGCTCAGGTCACGATCCCAGGGTCCTGGGATCGAGCCCCGCATCGGGCTCCCTGCTCCGCGGGAAGCCTGCTTCTCCCTCTCCCACTCCCCCTGCTTGTGTTCTCGCTCTAGTTGTCTCTCTCTGTCAAATAAATAAATAAAATCTTTAAAAAAAAAAAAACAATGTCTGTGCTAAAATCCCCAAATGTATTTGTCTTTCATGTTATATATAAATTTTAAAATAAAATTCATTATAAACCTCACTGTCCTGCTCCAGTGGACTCCAAAGATGGCCTCCAGTGAATGACGTCTCCTGGTATTTATGTCCTTGTGTAGTCCCTCCCATCCTGAGTTTTGGCTGTCCTTTGACAGACATTGGATGGGCAGAAGTGACTGGGCCAGTTTTGGTCCTAAGCCTTAAGAAAGCCTGACACCTAGTGTCTTTGTGTTCTTGGAAGCTAGCCAGTACGTAAGAAGTCTGGCTGCCCTGCTGGGGAGGAAAGGCCTGGGAAGATAAGATGCCATCTGGAGAACAGAGGCGTCAGCTCTAGGAGTGACAAGCCCATCTTGAATGTTCCTGCCCAAGGGCCTCTAGAGTACTTCAGCCCCAGCTGCCAACTGACCACAACTGTAAGAGAGTCTCCGAGCAAAATCAAGAGAAGAACCACACAACCGAGACCAATCAACACACAGAATCATGAGAGATAAGGACAAAATTTATTAAGCTACTAAGTTTGAGTGGTTTGTTTTACACTGATAACTGAAACAAACCGCTCAAAAAATATTTCCAGAACCCAAACTGGTTGTCCAATGCCAAGGATGGAAGGAATAGTGTCTGTTTATCCTGACCCTATTAACATCATTCTGGACTTATTTTACATTTAACAATCGTATCATCAGATTGAATGTGTAGCTAACTATACATCCCTAGGATGGCTGTTTGGCTACTTCTCTCCAATGTCTTCCTAAAAGGTGTTAGAGACCCAAATAAAAGATTTTATATATTTTCCCTTTATAATTTTCATCTTGTCTGTTGTGACTCATCATTCCAGCTCGATGAGATTTTTGGAAAAAAATTTTGCACTCTTATCTAAGATAATAATGATCTCTTGTGCCCTCCGCAATCTGAGAAACATACTCTACATACCTTATTCGAATCATCGTGATAAAATTATTGAATGGGACCAGGCAAATCCAGGGTCCTTCAGCCGGGCACTGAAGACTTCCTGGTGAGTAGGTTTGTTCTACTGATTGGGAGACACTTTTAGGAAATGATCATTCCAGCTACAAGTGTGTGTAGTCTGTCATTCACTAAGCTGCTTTTCTTCTTTTGTTCTTCACAACGACATCGCAGAGCATTTGCCTTCCCTGAACTTTGTGGGTGTAACTTTCCAATAAAGTGGTTCCAATTTAGTCTGACACGATTGG